CATTTTATTTGGTATCAGTATCAGGGAAAAAAATTGGCAGTATTGAACATCACTATCTTTTGTCTGTGTTTTTCTGTGAGATCTACAATTAAAATGTTGCATTCCATAAAGAAAAACTAATTAAAAGCACAAAACCTACATTTATGGGGACATAAATAACAGTATTTTTGTAGTTTGGGCTTGATAGCTTTTAGGTTTGAAGGGCAAAATACTATTCCAGCCTTGTTTAAGTCCTTCATTATAGAAAAGTGTTTTGGTACTGCGTTCTAGTTACAATTAAAACTACTTAGGACCCCAGAAAATGGTCCTAAAAGAGACATAATGTCTTTTATGACTCAATTTTTGTTGCTGTTTTCTTTTGCACAATTGTTTTCTAGAAAATGTGTCCAAAAATTGAGGTTTTTTTAACCTCTCCAATAGATAAAGATAAACACCTGCAGACCTTTATTTATTACAAACAATTCATCATCTCAAGTGACAGAATTAATATTTCAATTACAAAGATTTAATATTGTCCATAAAAGGACAAAAAGTTAAGATAATCATTCATCACAGGAAGAGTTTTACCAGTTAGCTGAAGAACACMTGGGCAGGAAACATCAGCAGGAACAACAGTTTACCTTCTGCATGCAGATGCGTCCCTTGCGGACGGCGTGCTTTAGCCTCTCCACGCAGACGGCGTGCAGCGGCAGGTAGAAGGCCAGCTCCGTCTGAGGCAGAATGATGGACAGGGCGCACGTGTTCTTATCCCCCTTCAGCTCCCCGTCAAAGATCAGGGACACGATGATGACGCCCTTCTCGGCCAGGACGAAGAACTTCACGTCCACCGCGCCGCACTCGGCGCTTCTCAGGATCTCGCCGTTCAGCGTGTGATTGGCCAAAAAGGTGACCTCGCCGTCGCTGAGGAACATCAGCTGCTCGCCCTTCGGCGCCCAGATGTGACGCACGCGCGGACCCAGGATGTTGTCCCAGTAGGCAAAGGTGGCGGCCAGCAGCGGACATTCTCCCTCCACAGCTACCTCAGATTTTGCTACAGCAGGTGATTGGGGTGGACAGCCAGAAGACATTGGATAAATGTGGAGGGATCTTCCAAACAGCGACTTTTACTAAACTGCATCGTAAAAGAAAAAGAAAATCACATTTTATGGTACAATTAAAAAGTAAAAGTGTCATTTATAAACTGAGCTTAATCAATTACTAGAAGTATAGCATTTCACGAAGGAATGAATTACCTGCTGATTTCATACCTGACTTTTAAACAAGGATGAACTTACTCCAGTGCAGTGTTGCCAGGTGTACGATAATTATCGTATTTGTATGATAATTTTACCCTCTGTACGATGTACGATCAATAATCCCAAAAATCCCATTATGTAAGAATTTGACCGCTCCAATGTGTGACGTTATCGACCCGACACTCTGCTCGCTGACATGAGAGGTGATGGGTTGTGGAACACAGCGGTACTGATTTAGCGACTTCCTCGCTATATTTACAGACTTTTCAGACCCTCTATCAGGGGTGTCAAACTCCAGTCCTCGAGGGCCGCTATCCTGCATGTTTTAGAGCAGGGGTGTCAAACTCCAGTCCTCGAGGGCCGCTATCCTGCATGTTTTAGAGGTTTTCCAGCTCCAACACACCTGATTCAGTGATTGAATTAACTCTTCAAATTGAGCAGAAGCCTGTTAATC